GCGAGTAGGACTCCGAGCGCGAATTCGGGTAGTGGGGGTGAGGGGTCGAACAGCACGGGCTCGGGCTCGGGCACCAACTCGAGCGCCCCCGCGCAACCGGCATACAATGTCTCCGCGTGCGTCTCTTCCTCCGGGGTGTCGTGATGACCCGCTGACCCTAGCGCAGCATCGCCCCTCTCCCCAAATGGAACTGGACGGACTCGTCGCAGAAGATGATCGGGATCTCCCTTGGGAACTACCTCGTTCTCGAGCGATGGATGACCGAGGACTGGTTTGTCGGCGCTGCGGGGCCGGACGCCTATGACGAATGGACGTTCACTAACTTCACTGGTGGGGCCGCGCCGGGGCTGCTACAGGCGCACTGGGATTCATGGGTCTCGGAGGATGATATTGAACGCGTGTACCAGGCGGGCGTGAACACTATCCGCGTGCCGACGGGGTACTGGGCGTGGATCCCCACCATCGAGGGGGAGCCGTATGTCCAGGCGGGGCAGCTTGACAGGCTAGAACTCGTCATGAGCTGGGCATATAAGCGGGGCAGTGAGTGCCTCTCTCCCTCAAGCGCAAAGGAGGTGCTGCGCTGACGCAAGCGCAGTGTACGTGCTCGTAGACCTGCACGGGCTCCCCGGCTCGCAGAACGGCGAGCAGCAATCCGGACACAACACTTCCGACGTGCGGTTCTACCAGCCCGCGTACCAGACGCGGTCGGACGCCACGCTCGCCGCTGCGCTCTCCTGGATCAGCAGCTCGCCCTACCGCTCCGTCGTCTCCGGCATAGAGGTGTGCAACGAGCCCCGGCCGAACTCGGACGACAACTTCTCAGTCCTGGCGGCGTACTACGAGCGGTCCTATACAGCCTGCACGAATCGCTCGGATCCTGTGCCGATGATCTTCCACCACGGGTTTCCCAATACGGACCACCTGGCGTACTGGCTCGATTTCGTCACTGGAAAAGACCCAAACTTCCTCATCCTGGAGGATCATCCTTACCCTGGCAACTTCCCACTCCAGACGGACGAAGCGAACATCCTATACCAAGTCTGCCAGGACGCAGCGTCCTACGAAGGGTATCCCGTGCCAGTCGCGGTAACCGAATGGTCCCTCACCACAGGCGTGAACGACACTTCCTTCGAATCCCAATTCTACGCGCAGCAGTTGACAGCCTGGGCATGGTCAGCAGGCTCCGTCTTCTGGTCTCTCCGCGCAAACATCTCCCAGCTGGCGATCCTCGCCGCACCCCCAAACCAGCAGAAGCAGTACTCCTTCCTCGACCTCCTGGACGAAGGAGGCATCATCGCCCTTCCGAGCAATACGAACCAGAGCAGCGCTAGCTTCATTAGCTCCCTGAACCAGGGGTGCGGGAATATCCCCGGGGAGCAGTGGTCAAATTGGACGTTTTCGACCGTCCCGGCCCAGCAGACGTATACGAGTGGGAGTCTGACGAGCTTCCCGACGAGCACGGCTGCTTGAGGCTCCAGGCTTCAGGTCACTCCGCCATTTAGACTTTTTCTTTCTGGGCCGTGCTGGACTAGACGGCGACCGATATACTTTCTTTTGTGACAACACGCTCTCTTCCCCCCTTCTTCCTTGCACGCACATTGCCGCTGTTGCATTCCTACTCCTACTCCCTGGAGGGCAGGGCTGAGCCCCACCACCGTCCAGTGCGCCGTATTATTAAATCCTTAATTTCCTCTTTGTTTTTTAGTTGGTTGACAGTATACGTACGCGTAGAAAGAAAGGACGATGTAGCATAGTGCTGAATTAGATGTTGTTGGCTGTCGACTGTGGACTGCGGGCGAGCGTGGGTGTGTTCACGGTGGAGGGCGGGAGGTCACTGCGAGGAGGCAGTGAGTAGAGGTAGTATCAGAATTGGACCAGAGATGGCATTAAGAAATGACCCGATGCACTCCAGTATAAGGCTTATCAGGAGGGTGAGGCGTGGAGTGGTGCGGCTTGCGAGCTTCCGCGAAGGGTTCGCGAAGCCAGCGCTACAGTAGCACTGGAACAGTCGGAACTCCAGCGCTGCTCCTCCACTGGCTAGAAATGGATTCTGCTTGACTGACTGGCTGGCTGCATCCAAGTCTCTGCTTGATATACTTTAACGAAGTGAAAATGCCTAAGAAAGCACTCGTTTGCTTTGGCGTAGATGTGGATGCTGTCGCTGGCAAGTCACTTCTTGCGCTCACATATGTCGAATGCCTCTGATCCCTCCACAGGATGGTAATCTAAACATGCTGCGATCCGAGTCTCTTTAATAACCGCCGCTCTGCAGGCTGGGCTCGTACGGAGGTGAAAACAGCCCGAGCGACATCTCCCGTGGCATGTTCGCTGGGGGGGGTGGGCACGCCCCGGCTGCTCAAGCTCTTCGCAAAGTACAATATGAAGACCTCGTGGGCGGTGCGTGATCCACATCTGATACCATTTCTGATGGACGCATCGCTGAATGTGATGGTAGATACCGGGGCACTCGTGGGAGACGTTTCCTGACCAGATGAAGGCTGTCCGGGATGCAGGGCATGAGATTGTGCTGCATGGTTACAAGCCATCTGCCGGACTGACTGCAGGCACTGACGTATCAAAACTCAGGGTACTCGCATGAGGTCGGTGTGGTGCTAAAACGGAGAGTCCGCCGACTGATATGTGCGTAGAATCCGATTGCAATGACTCCGCAGCAGGAGAAGGACGTTCTCGAACATACGTACAAGGTTGTGCTGATACGGCTCTTTGCGACTTTCAAGCTGACGCACGAAGTAGCTGCATACCAGCTTCTGCGGAAAGCCACCGTGAGAGGCCCAATCTCTGTCTGGAGAGCTGACGCCAAGAGGGATTCAGCGTCGGCTATGTCGCCCCGTGGTGTGAGAACTCGCAGATCACGAGCAAGCTCCTGCTGGACCACGGCATTGAGTACAGCCGGAGCAACATGCACCGGGATGCCGAAGCGTACTACGGTCGCAACGGAGATAGCTGGACCAAGATCGACTATGACGGCGAAGCGAAGGAATGGATGAAGCCGCTTGTACGTGGCACGGAGACGGGCCTAGTGGAGATCCCTGCCAGCTGGTACTTGGATGACATGGAGCCGTTCATGTTCATCAAGCAGTTTCCAAACTCCCATGGATGGGTTGATCCTAAGGTGGTTGAAGATCTCTGGAAAGGCCATTTCAGGTAAGAATTCGTGTTGTCAAAGAAGTATTTCACCCCTGACGGTTTGCAGCTACTTCTACCGGGAGTACGAAGAGTTTGTGTTCCCGATTACGATCCATCCAGACGTTTCCGGTCATCCCCATGTGATCCTCATGCTGGAACGATTCATCGAGTGGGTCAACACGGTAATTCGTCGCTCTGTGCATTGAGCTCAATCTCACCTTGCGGGTTAGCACGAGGGTGCTCAATGGGTGACTATGAAGGAGATGAGCGATGACTTCAAGCACAGGAACCCAGCACCAGGCGGGAACGCCTTGCCCGTGAACGCCTAGATTGAGTTCCTACTAAATGCTGCACTTTCAATTCGCGACGCACGCGCAACTTCTATTCGTTCTAGAGCTACAAGATAGGAAATACAAGCAAGTTGTCTGAGATCATGACAGATTCGCTCCCAGCGTTTCAGCGAGCTTTCTCGCCCGCCTTTTCACCTCTCCTCTAGCACCCATCACCGTCAATCGAATGTCTACACTCTTCAGATCCTCACTCTCCTCTTGCACTGGTGTGATCTCGAACCTCCCAAATGCCCAGTTCAAGATGCTCATTCCGGTCGGTAGTCGTACAAAGCCCTTGACGCGGAAGATTTCCTCCTTCGGCAGTCCAGACAGGGCGGCACTGAGAGACTCTTCTGTCAGAGGACCTGGCAAGGGCTTGTGGCCATTTATTGCGGCGTGCTCGTGGTGGTGGTGCGCTGCTCCGTGCGAATGCGGATCTGATCCTCCGCGCCAGACGGTGGCAGTCTCTACTTCGTCGTGGTGGTTCGCTGGAACGTCTAATTTCGGATCGTGCAGTTGGTATAGCTTGGAATCCAGGTTGAAGATCAGCGCAGGCGGGACGCCATCCTCCTTTGGACACCTAATCTTGGGCGTCATGTCGTTCAGCGTATTGAGATGGTCTATGACGATGTCTAACTCTCGCTCCGACACGCTTTCGTATTTGTTCTGCGTAACATGTCAATGTTCAGCAAGGTCAAGCAAGAGCAAGGTGCGCACGATGAGCAGAATATCCGTGTACGTCGCCTGCATTCTGGCCGTCGGGCTCGTGTCCTCGTACCCCGTAAAGTTCTCGGCATCGATGACCGTCACGATCGCATCGAGCTTGAACCCGCCGGCAGTGTCCTTCTCCAGCTGCCGGATTTGCCACGCGATGGTAGCAGGAAATGCTGAACCACTAGCCACATAATTAGTCAGTAATACTATGGATAGAGGTAGCAGCGAAACGCACGAGCATTCGATAATGATCCGATCTGGTGCAAAGTTCTGTCGGATCTCTAGTAAAGCATTCTTCATCTGGCCGACCAGCACGCAGCACATGCATCCATTCAAGATCTCGCTAACAGCCGCAAGCGATGACTGCTTGGCCAGCTGACTGTCGACTTTCCAGAGGGTCAGGACGTAGTCCATGTACATTGTATAGATGCGCACCTTCTACATCGCCAAATTCGTTCTTGAGCAGGACGACCTTGTAGTCTTTCGGCAGTTGGGGAAGGAGCGACAGGATGAGCGACGTCTTTCCAGCACCTAAGAAACCAGTGAACACGGTCACCGGGATACCAGTCCGAAGTCCCGCATCGCCCATATCTATAAGAAAGCGTCTAATGAGAGGAGATGGTGGAGACTGCGCTGGGATCCAGGGCTCGCGCTGCTGGCCCGAGGCGGGCGCTTCGGGAAGCCTGACGTTGCGGCAAGGGTCCACAAATTCCCGTCCAAACGGAACCTGATTCTTCTTTAGGCACCCAAGAAGAATTTAAGAACAGACCACAAACGTTGCTACAGCAGGAACGCTACGGAAAAGCAAAATGAGCCCTGCCGGACTTGAACCGACGACCTTTGGATATCATCCACACGTACCGAAACACGCATGACCGAAGACCAACGCGGTAACCACTCCGCTAAGAGCCCTCTGATTCTCAATGGATCTGTTTGAGTTTGATAACTGTACTATGTTTCGGGGTCGACACTATATGGGGTAACCGCTCCGCTAATGCCCCTTCTAGCAAGAGGACAGAAATCTCATGACAATGATAGAAGTCTCACATACCACCAGAAAGGCAATGGTGTATTAGAGTAACAGAGTGCATCAAATACACATCAATCGGATGGCAGTCTATCTATTCGTCCTCCAATAAGAACCCACCGATGCTCTCCCTCATCTCCTCCTCGGTTAGCTTCTGCTGCACCCAAACCGGCATAGGCATTCCTGCCTCCCCCAGCGTAACAAGGCCCCCATTCGAAGCCAGAGCTGGAATCTTCCCAGCGCCTGTCCCTCCTCGCGCTGTAAGATGCGTGTAGCACGAGTAGCATAAACTGTCGGCCAACCCCTTCTCGGCTGGAAGTGGCGGCGTCTTCGGCGGTGTAAGGGGATCAGTCGCTGCATTGGTGATTAGGAAAGGCAGAGACATGATCGCCGTCCCTGCCTTCCATCTTGTCGCATCCTTCTGGGCAGGTCGCAGGCAGTAGGCACAGGTGTAGGCGGCCTCCTCTGCAGGAACCACCTTCGCGGCAGTCTTGGAGATCGTCGATACAGTGCTCGGGTAGTCCCGCTCCAGGCCAATGACAAAATCCTCCGTGAGTTTGCCGATCGTCTTCCCTCCAGTTGGCGCCAGCGCCTGGGTCGGCTTGCCATTCACACCCCGCGGAACAGAAAGCTGTCGGGAGTAAAGCCACCAGCCGAGCTCCTTCAGGCTCCAGTCCCTCAGTGGCCGCACGATCTTCACGTCACCCCGACTGGTCCTGACAATTTCTTCTCTTTCTGCTCCCAGGGCGAATCCACCACCATACGCGACGGTTTCCAACAGGTCGATGGAGAGACGAGGTAGAGAAGTTCCAAGCATGAGGACGGAGCAGTCCGAAGACGACGCCGTGTGGAGTAACAGGAGGCGTGTTAGAGTGTGCAGGGTTGCGGGAACAGAAGTCGGTGTCGGCAGACTCCTGAGATGTGCCCTCAGTGTTGCAACAGGGTCGCTGGGTCCCGCAAGCGATGGCACAAACGGTAGTCGGGCGGAAGAGAGATCGATATGAGCATCGGCTGCTGAGCCATCGAGGCCAACCGCGTTCCTCCACGCGGGTTCGAACGCCTCCTCCCCCCTGACGACAGTGAAATCGATTCCATAGTGATCGCAGTTCTCCTTCAAGGACTCGACCAAACTGGCTCTACCCAAGCAGCTCCAGTCGATGTGCACCGCCCGCACCTTCCCAACCTGTCGACGCTCATCCTTTCTCCCCGAACCCTGGGCTGAGAAACATTTCCAGACCAGGTCCAAGAGAACCACAGAACTTGGTCCCCCGGAGAGACCGAGAATGACGTCGGGCGGCGGTGTGCGGGATGGAGTACCGCGGGATGGAGCTGCGGGGTCGAGGGATGTAGAAAGTGCTCGCCGGAACTTGCGCACTAGCATCGCGGGGAGGCAGGAAGAACAGTAGACAGTGTGCTTGATCACGAGGTTGCCACGCTGGGACTTGCACTTGATGCATGTTTGGCCGCGATCATATCGGGATCTTCCTGTAGATTCATTAGCATTTCATTTACCTCTTTCGTGGAAGACGTACGGGGCATAAGATCCTCCGTAGATGGAGGTGCGTCGCAGGACATTGAGAACGAGCAGTGAACCAGCAGAGACGAGGCACAGAAGTTGGTACAGTCAGAGTTCTTTCGATTGTGCAGGTGGAGCCAAAGCCTGTCCCTGAGTGATTCGATCGTGTGCCAGGGATGCTTGGATAATCTATCAGGTTATCGGCAAACGGCCCGCGAATTGGACCGAAAATTGCCAGGACAGAGGGTAAGACGACCGGGAGTCTCCGAGCTCGTAAATATGAGTAAGATCGCCAGCAGCGGAAAGAAACAAGCAGAGGCGGCGCGGCCCAAAGATGAAAGATTGCAGCAGCAATATCTGATCGGCGTAAGAAGATCGTCGGCGGCCTGAAATTGCGATGTTTGACCGGCATGTCAGCCGACGGAATCATTTAGCAAGTGGCTAACGGAGGCAATAAGGGGCGTGACGACTCGCACTTCCTGGGCCTTGTCCCCGCCTTGCACCGTCACACAACGCACGCTTGCACCAAGCGGGCGGCTGTTTCCTCTACTCCCCGCCACCACCCGCGCTACGCGCCCTCACCGTCGACAACCACCAGCACCTGCATGCAGTCATCGAACCCCGCTGCCTATCCGAGACCATAGCTCGCGTCTATCAGGATCAGCCGCATAACAGCGAGCAAACCTACGTTTGTCCCTATACCCGCACGGCGTCGCCGAGCTCCCTCCGACAATGGATGTCGACCAACCACAACCTCACCCTGAAGCAGGCCCATCGCGTCTGCCGACTCCGCCACCTCCGCCAATCTACTTTCCTCCCTTTCGTATGTCACTGTTCTGATGATGAGGTATATGCTAATTGCGCGCGTAGTGCCACCGCCTCCCACCCCAGTGTCTGGTACTCAAGACCTGCTGACGCGCTACCATCTCCTTCCGTACTACGCACACTACGCTCGACCATACCTTACCCCTGTCGTACCAGCACCGGCCGATCGAAAGCGCAAACGTGACGCCGGGAAGGAAGTCAAATTTGTCGGCATCGTTGAGCCCGTGCGACCCGATGGAACGCCAAGAGGTGGCACGCCTGTCGGACTTGGACGAGCAGAAGTAGACGAGACAGAGGGGAAGGGGAAGGAGAGAGAAACGATTGTGAAGATTGAGGAGCCCGAAGCCGTACCGGGAAAAGGCAAGGAGAAGGAGAGACCGAAAGACAAGGGGAAGGGGAAGGAAAAGGGCGCCGCGTCTGTCGCTGTGTCACCGACAACGCCGACCGTGCCCGGATCCAGGAGACCGAAATTGAAGCGCGACAAGAGCATGCCGAAGGTGAAGCATGGATATCGGCATTATCTCTGGGGCTTGAAGGGTGCGTCGCGACGACTCATACATGCATGCGCTATTGTTCTGATGCGAGTTATTGATAGGACGAGTGAACACGAAGAAAGACCGGTTCCTCCTAAATCTCATCCAAACGCCACCGAAACAACATTTGCGCATCAAGCCGTTGGATGCGAGGACGGTGCAGGATGCATTCAAGCTGCAGGAAGGTGTATTGCCAGATGTGAGTTACAGCACAGGTGTTCGCTCTGTGCACCTGTTGAACGTCTCGGATGCAGTACGATCCCCTGAGATACACCGATTCGCCACTGATCAGCGAGAAGAAGAAGGTTGGTTTAGCCGCGATCCTTCCACACCACCCCCGTACTGAATTGACTTTGCAGCGAAAGCTTGCGGAGAAGGCTGCACGACTGGCCGCGCGCGAGCGCGCCAAACAAGCTCGAGCCGGCGGGACAACCTCCACACCCTCCACAACTGCTATTACTGCTGCTCCTGCGATCGCACCTACGCATCCCGCTGCAAGCACAGTACACGTCTCTGCTGGCGGCGTGCCGACACCGGCTACGACCAATGCAGGCACACCGCCTGCAACGCCAGGCTCGCCATTACCAGGCTCTTCAGCTACCGCAGCTGGAGGCCGCAAGGTGGTCGGCAGTAGCAATCTCAAAACATCCCATGTCGCGCCTGGCTCTCCTGCCCGTCATTCTCTTACTGGCGGCGCCTCCCCATTCCCGAAGAAGGTCGCGTCACCGATGCCTCAAGTTTCTAGTCCCTTGCGAACAGCGGCCTCAGCCACTCCCAGTGCCAGCGGTCGACCAGGCGGTTACGTAGCCGGTGCATCCCAACCCCGAGCCACTAGCGCCATACTAGGCAAGCCGGTAATCAAACCTGGTGGAGTCGGAGTTGGAGAAAAGCGGAAGGAACCGCCTGATAGGGAGTTGGAGGGTGAGAGAGAACGGCAACGAGCCAAGAAGTCTGTTCCGAGCGGTATTCCTGGCGTCGGCAAAGGAGGAAAGAAGCGCAAGGTGAATGGCGCAACGGCTTAGGCGGGCGCCAGGCTGCAGCTGCACGACGAGCCGAGAGCCCTAATGGCAGCTACCCGCGCAGCAAGACCTGGGCACATATGCTTCATTATTTCTATCGGGATCGGTTGACGGCATCCACTTATTTCACGTTTGTACCGCATATCACTTCTGGCCTCCAGCGACTATCCTGGCTGCCCCTCACGACCCATTATATTTGTAGACTGCTCTGCATGTCCCTGTACGGTTCTGGTCCCGTTCTGCAAATGCATGGATATTATCTGTGAGTGGTGGTGTGAGAGCGTGCGAGCTTGCGGTGGAGTGACAACCGATGTCCATTAGAAACCCAAAAGATTGTAAGATGCGCTACGCTAGGTCGCAGGTTCCTGTTTTGCACTCCTACGCGCCGACGTAGAACTCGCGCTGGGAGACCATCCATACGATGGACGTCGCTAGGAAATCAAAAACCATTTCAGCGCAGCTCCGCAAGAGATGTGAGAAACACGCACAGGCAACGATGATCGGGCTGACCACGCCTCCTCCCAACGCGCAGGTGCCAAAGACGAGCCACTCGGAGAGGAAATGGAACAACGCGATCACGTACGTGCCGAGGCCAATGTTGTATACGCTACACACCGCTCATCAGCACCATCACTCAGTCCAGATCGCGGAAGGCACGCACACAGGGTTGGTGATATTGTACGCGACGTAGAACCTGACCATGCCGCTTGTGAGGGACCAGATGCCAAAGTTGCGTGACTGGAGCGGGTTGACCAAGCCCTGCTTCGCCCCGTTCAGGTAGACCAGCTTGCTGCCCTTGTCCGAGAGAAGGTTTTGCACAGCGTAGATCACCGCGGTCGAGGCGGCGATGAGGTTCCAGGCGGGGAGGAGGCCGGGGCCGGGGAGGTCTACGCGCGCACAGGAGGTCAGCGAGGGTCGAGCGCGCAAGGGAGCGGGACGAACATTTGGTGACAAGCTCTTGTATTTGGTCCATCCTGACTCTCTGTTATGCG